AAAATAATTGATTCACAAACAAGTTCGATTGTTTTTACTGGTAATAGACTTGCTAATATTTATACATTGAATTTCAATGATATGGAATCTGATAATATACAATATTTGGTTGTAGGAGGAGAATATGGTGAGCTTTGGCTCAGAAAACTTGGACATGCAAACATGAGACTACTACAGAAACTTTTAAAGAAAGAGTTGGTTAAAGGTTTTCCTATGACTAACTTTAAGAATGAAAGTTTATGTGAGGCTTATACCAAAAGTAAGTTCATAAAATTTTCGCATAGTTTAAAGAACCAGGTGATCACTTCTATACCCTTGCAGTTACATCACTTTGACTTATTATTAATCCTCTTCGGGATACCTATATGTGTGCTACAACTGTATTAATCCTCTTCGGGATACCTATATGTGTGCTACAACACTCTACGTGTATACTCATGATTGTACGTGTATCATCGTGCGTCTCGAACCCAACGTTCGAAAACAAAAGGTGTAAAAAATAACACTTCAAACAAAAGAGAACACAGGTCGATCGACCGCCCTTAGGGCGTCGGTCGACTGAACGCAAACGTGCACAAAGTGCACTCAAAGGATCTCACCGGTCGACTGACTAGCCTTGGTCGGTCGACCGGCCAGAGAAAGATATTCACATATCAGGTTTTAGCGTTTGTATTTTTATAACTTTATTCAAAAACTTAATTTTATTAACAAGAGGCATATAACAAGATTTAAACTTTAATATTTGCTTAACATAGATTAACTCAACATGATTTAAACTCTTAATTAATCTAGTTAGGGTTTAGTATCTTAATTAACCAAAATTTCTCAAATAAAACATAAATTATCAACATGATTAACTAAGCATGATTAGAACTAATCATTGCACAGATATAAAATAATTTAAACACGTTCACATCACTTAGGTATCACAAACCTAGGGTTTATACATCTTAAATTAACAAAAAAACTCAATTAATTGTTATACTAGGGTTTAAACATGATTTTAAGATAAATTAAAATAAAAATAAAAGCAACCCTAATGATCATGATCATTAACTAATATAAACAACTAAATCTACAGATTTTCACATTGGTTTAAAGATTAACATCATAAACTAAAATTTTAAAACATCGGGTTAAACTTTAACATGAGATTCATCAATTAACATATTAAATCTTGAATTAATTACATGGAAAGGTTTGGAGGAAGATGATCTTGTCTCAAACGTCGTGTTGAACTCCTGAACACGTGCATGCAAGATCCCTCTTCACCAAAGTCGCAAAATCCCGCATTCCTCTCGACAAACGCCTCAAGAACTCTCCCAAATCTCACAAATTATGATTAGGGTTTGAGAGAGAGGGGAAGAGGGGCTGCTAGGGTTTGGAATACTGATGAAAAGATGTGTTTTTCGTGTGTAAACATGTATATATAGAACTGCAAACCCGAATCAAAACAGCCCAAGCCCGAAACAGGAAACCCAGTTAGACTGGGAAAATAGTCTTTGGTATTTTGGCTGTAACTTTCACGTCCGACTTCAGAATGAGGTGATTTAAGATGCGTTGGAAAGCTATTAAAGATACCTACAACTTTTATCTTTTTGAGTTTTTCCAGATTGGAACTGTATCAGTGTGTAAAGGATATATACTCTTAATTGATCGTTTTTTCTGATTTCTTCTTCGTACATGTTTAACCTTTGTATACTCTCATATATATTCTTAATTGATCTCAAATCAACTGTTAGCATAATCATTCGTCTATAATAATATTCATCATAATTAGAGCTCATTTATCAATATAATTCACATTATTTTCTAAAACTCATGGGGTTTTACAATGACATATCACGCTCGTATCAAGCAATCATTCAGACTGTGCTATTTTGCTATGGACAATTAACAATTTTTCAACCTATGCTAATCTTTCTGGTTGGTCGACAAAAGGAACATATGCTTGTCTAGTTTGTGGTCTGGAGTTCAAAGGTCTTTATCTGCGGTACATTAGGAAGTTATGCTATTGGCTTAATCGAAGGTGGTTGAAAGATACACCTAGATACAAATCTAAAAAATAGAGCAAGAAGTTTGATAGGACAATTGAGGGCATAAATCGTCCCCATTCATTATCCGTGTTGAGATTGTGTATTTGCTTGATGATTTGTCAAAAGTAAGGTTTAGAAGGAAACAATATTCAGAAGAGTCTTTACTTGGAGTAAGGAACTTGCGGAAGAACAAAAAAGTACTTAAACGAAAGAGACCGACACAGATGATGAATGATGAGAATGAAGCCGTAAATTTACTAACAGGATGGACAAAATACAACATTTTCTTTCAGCTAGTTTACTGTCAAAAGCTAAAAATACGACACAATTTAGACGTCATGCATATTGAAAAAAATATTTGCGACAATTTTATGTCAACGGTATAGCAAGATGCTAATAAATCAAAGGACGATCTATGAGCTTGACAAGATCTGAATGTATTGAACATTTAAGAAGAGCTACAGCCAAAGAAGATTGCAGAACAAGCCAAATTTGAGTTGCCTACATATCGTATTACAATGTCAAAGATTGAGATGCAAACATTTTGTCTGGTCCTCAAATCATTGAAGTTGCCAGATGATTACTCTTCAAAAATATCAAAATGTGTCCAAGTTCAAGAGAGAAACTAATAGGACTTAAAACTCAAGATTTTCATGTCCTTTTTCATCAATTGCTTCCGATTGCACTTCGCAACACCTTGCAGGATAAAAAAGTAGTGAAGGTTATCATTAAATTATGTGGATTCTTTAAGAAGTTATGCTCCAAAGTTATATACATGCCATACTTTAAGAATCTTGAAGTAACTATATCAAAAACACTGTGAAATGGAGATGTTATTTCCTTCATCATTTTTTATGGTTATGGTATATCTTACATAACATCTTGGAGAGGAGGCTTATGTAAGAGGACCAATCTATTACTGTTGGATGTATCCAATGGAGAGATTACTTACTCTTTTCTCATACATTTGAAATACATGTGTTATGTATGCATATGTAACTGATAGTTTCTCCATCACTTTTTAGATATTTAGGCTTCCTAAAAAGCGGAGTTTATAATAAAGCTTGTCCGGAGGTTCAATAGTTGAAAATTTTGTGGCTAACGAGTGTCTTTCATTTGCCTCTCGTCTCATGCGTGTTGTGCAAACTCTAGATCAAGAAGTTACTAATAATAATAAGAACACACTTCTCTACCTTCATGGGCTAAACAAAGATTATTCTAACTTATTGTTAGATCAGGCTCATGCATATGTATTGAACAATCTGAAAATATTTTCTAAATACAAAAGGCAATATAACACTAGAGAATTTGATTGCCATGTAGTTATTTATTTTAAATTTAATGAAAATTTTTTTTATTGTAATAATAGGCAACATCTAGAAAAACTACAAAATGAAACAACTGGTAGCACAGCTGTACATGACATTAAAGAAAACATGCTAAGGAATTTCCTATTTGGATAAAGAATTTTGTAAGTTCTGTTAAATTTAATAGTGTAAAATTTACATTAAAAAGTTAATTAGAATTTATTTTGATTGTGTTGATTTTAGGTTAGCAAACAGGTTGTTCTGAGTAATCCAATACCAGAAGAAGTAAAGGTTCATGCAGGGTGTCCTTACTATGCAGCACAACACTATGGTGGATACCATGTGAATGGATATAAATTTCACATAGTTAAGGTCAATGATACGAGAGTAGCACAAAATAGTGGTATCATTGCCACCTTTTCATGAGAATGTTTTTCAAACATAAGAGATTAGAATCCAGTTGTTTTCAAACATAAGAGATTAGACTCCGGTTAAAAGTACTATGGTATATTATGGACGACTAGAAGATATCGTGGAGTTAATCTATGGCTATGGATGTGTAAATGAACACTGATACATGATGTTTCAGATTCGTTGGTCCCCTACAAATAAACAAATGGGTTACTATAGGTTTACTATTGTCAATCTCGATAAAGAAATAGATATGAATGAAAAGTTCATGTTCGCAAACTAGGTGGCATAATGTTTTTATGTGAAAGATCCTAAAGTTAACGATGAGTGGTTAGTCCTGTACAAATATCCTAGAGCTTATGTTCAACCTTCTGGCATCAACGATGAAGATAATATTGTAGACAATTTTAACGAACCGAATGTGGTAGTCGATGATTTTTCCTACCCTCAGAATGTAATGTCTGACGTTAATGAACAGAGATTCGGATTGACATTCCAAATGTCATTGTACGCATTGATAGCAACACAGAATAGTTGGATGTATTAGGTTCATAATCGTTCGATGTATTAGGATTTGATTTTTGAAATTTGCAAAGTGTGAAATGAAAACCTTAATATATACGCAAAATGCATCTTTTTAGCTTCAGTACAATAAAAATTGTAGCTGAATATATATCTTACAATCTTGTACTTCATTTTGCATCTTAACAATTTAACTTGCAGATTTCGAAGAGTTTAGATAGCTATTTTGATAAATGCATCCTTTTACTTCAGTACAATAAAAAATTGCAGCTGAATATATATCTTACAATCTTGTACTTTATTTTGCATCTTAATAATTTGACTTGTAGATGTCAAGGGGTTTAAGTAGACAGCTATTTTGATAAATGCATCTTTTTTGCTTCAATACAATAAAGATTGTAGCTGAATATATATCTTACAATCCTGTACTTTATTTTCCATCTTAACAAGTTAACTTGCAGATGTCGAGGATTTTAAGTAGACAGCTATTTCCTACCCTTAGCACTAACTGATCACGGTCAAATGAAGCAGGCTCTGGTTCCTCTGTACAGGCCCCCTCAAGTTCTTCTGCACAGGACCCCTCTGATCTAATACTGACGTTGTCTCCTATCACAAGTCCTAGTAAGTAGAAAAAATATATTCATGATACACACATATTTACTATTCATGATATTTGCACAGATGCTAAATGTTTCCTTCAATTCTTTAGGTGAGGGCAAGGAACCATCGTTCACAATCCCTCCAAAGCTACCAATCCTCCAAGAATATATTCCCAGTATTTAGTTTGGGCCTTTATCACGAGTGGAGGACGATTATAGAAGCAAACATACGGAGAAATACATGGCAACACAACAACTGCTAGAACAGTGGGAGGAGAACATTAGAGCTAGAGTACATAAGCCGAAATGTGACCTTGAACTTTTAAAAAGGGTAAATTTACTGATTAATTATTAATTATATAATTTAATCTTTATTTACTACTAAACATTTTCTTTTCTCTTTGACTTCGTAAGAGGGGTGGTACGAGAAGTCGGGACACCAACCCAACGAAGAGATGAGAAAATTACCCTCGGAGGGTTTTCGTGCTATTGTAACTTGGCAATCAAATGAGGTTCCAATCGGAAAGTGGGCCAATAGGTTCAACTCATATATCGGGATTCTAGTACAGAGAAGTGATTTTGCGAACCCTTGTTTTTTAAGCCAGAGCAGTAGCCCTTCAATTTACTAGAGCATGTATGGCGACATCTTTTGGTAACTTATATTAATTTTCTCCTTCATTTATACTTTTTTGTTTGACTTCTCTACTTATATAGATGCTAATTTGCAGAGATTCTTCAACCTCAAGGAGAACAATAAAGGTTAGGAGTATTTATTTGGAAAAGCTAGAAAATATAATCATGCTATAGGATACGGAGGTATGAGTTCAAGTTGAATTACCATATGAAGATCGAACACGACTAGGAGAGGTTTTGGAAGCAAGATAAGAGAGTTGATGAAGATCAATTCGGTGTTCTTTTGATATTATGGGGACAATCAAGACTTCAAAGTAAGTTAGACCATAGAGTAATCAACATTCTGAATAAAGAGATTTAATATATATTTAATTGTAAATATTGTACATTATTTTTTTCTTTGTGCCAAAATTCATGTTTTTTAGAGGATAAATGTAAAAGGAATTCAGAATACTGCAATGAGGAGTATGACCATCACATAGGGGCTACATTTGCTCAAATCTGAAACGATTACTGCAAGGAGGTACAAACATTAAGGTTCTATAGAGGTTATATATAAAATAAAATAATAATACTATAAATTAAAATCTTGTGGGAACTTGTCTTTCTTCTAAATCTATTATCTTTTGTCATAAGCATTTTATTATTGACTAGTTTATTCCAGTATTCTAATTTGGAACTGATGCAAATGATCTGGTATAGAATAATGTATGCATATGGGTGGAAACTTGCCATCAATATTATCAGTTAGATTATATTTTTGATGATCCTATATAGAATAAAGTATGCATCTGGGTGAAAAAATTATTTTGAGTTTGATTTTTTGTAAAATCTTGCCTTGGGAAATTTTTTTTACCGCTGACAGAGCTTTATTGATTCTGAAGACCACAAGAAGTTCCTATCATCCTTTATTCATATTCAACTCTTAACTCCTTACGTCGTGATATGGCCTTGTTTACCTGCTTTGGATCGAAGAAGAGTTTTGAGTCATGCTATTAGCATGACATTCAGTTGGTCTTTTGTTGTTTAGTTGTCTATGCAGATTAACAAATATATATTCTGGATTTTATTACCTTTTTCTTTCCTGTTCCTTACTCTCTTAACAGTAGAAAAATATATTAGTCGCTAAGTGAGAACAAGTTTTCATTTTTTGGTCAGTGTCTTAAAACTTTATGGATTCTGGAGAACCTGATGTCAGTATTATATAATAACTTTCCACAATTCTTAATGAGAAAATCTGATTCAAGCTATTGAATACCAAAACAATTGAGAACTAGATATATTCATTTTTAATATTTAAAGAAATTTCCAGATTCCTTAATTGCAATATGCAGGAGATAGAATTTGATCAGTTATTTATATTGAATATTGTTTTCAATATGCTTTTTTGTCTCAAAATGCCCTATATATGCCGGTCCCCTTAATGTTTTAAGAGGGCTTTTGGTACAAATAAGGAGGGTTATTGATGAGTACATCCGGATACGTGCACATGACTTTCGTCGTGTTTATCAGCGCAGGAGACGCCGTGTTTCGGCATTGTGGTTTTGATTTTCAGTTAGTAGTATTTCAGTTGAAATAGTTAATTTGAATTTTGAATTTTAGTTTTGATTTGGTAGTTAATCAGTTTTAGTAACTGATTGATTGTGATTGATTATGAGAGATTTTTGAAATCTGTAATTTTCTCTATTTAAGTACTGATGTAATCAAATGAAGGATATTGAAGATTAAAAAAAATTCTTTGGCTTACGTGTGGTGTGAAACCCTAGGCTGAGACTTCTGTTCTTTGTTTATTTCTTTCAACCCTAGGCTCAATCCTTATTCTCTCCCCCACGTAAACAGCTACTCCATCAACCCGCCCTCTCTCTCCTCTCTCTCTCTCCTCTCGCTCTCTCTCTCTCTCTTCTCTCTCTCTCTCTCTCTTCTCTCTCTCTCTCTCCCCGCTCAACGCAACAGCAACATCCATCACTTCATCTCCTCCGCCCTCCCCTTTCTCTCTATCAATTGCGCAACACCGCCACAAACCCCACTCCGATCCGACACTCCCTCCTGTAAGCCACACCTAGCCACCGTGCTCCCCCTCCCATCCCCACTTCCTCTGCACGCCGCCCAAAACGGCCCAACTCCCCTCTCCCCTGACCTCCACCACCGTCAGCCACCAGCCTCCTTCTTATTTCGCTCCCCCAACCAATCGCACCAACAGCGCCACCACTTCCTCTCTTCTCCTCTGCGCGCACTCGAGACTTGAAATCTCCTACACCCCGAGCGCCCCCAAATCCCTGTCTCGCTCTGTCCACCCCACGCCGCCGACTATTCGTCCTGATGCCTGACCGTCAACCTCGACTCGATAGGACGTCGCAAACCCTATCCCTTCGACGCCGTCCAGCCTGATGCTATCACCCTCATCACTACCCAGTTTGTAGCCATCGTCCTCTTTGCCATCCTCACTGCTTCATCAGATCTACATCTTGATCGTCGTCGCGTCATCATTTAGTGCAGTTCGGTTTTATCTGATTTGAGTTCTGAGTCTGTGATCTATTGGTGCATGGCCGATCCTGAAGCAGAAGACGCCCAGTTTGTGGTTGATCCAGAGACGGGCATAGTTGATTTACAACTTTCTTAGTGGTTCGACTACCAGCCGTTCGAGACTCCAGCCGGATATATCGAGCGCGTGACTCATCAGATTGTAGGCAATGTGGAGAGTCATTTAGGCATTAGCTCGTGGCACAGACGCTTCCACCCGGACACGCCACTTCATCCCAGTTACGTAGCTCTCGGAGGCGAGCTCCCTCCTCTCAGATTCGGCATCGTTACACAGCCTCCAGAGGTCCCTCACGTCAAACCAATTCAGCCCGATGAAGGTTTAATTTTCTTTCGACCTAGTATTTTTGGAATCGCTATTGCGTGCATGCTATTATCAATTTTAATATCAATTGCGATTGTGCTGTATTCTGTTTGATTAGTGAGCGAGCGATTATGTTGCCAAGTATTTTTGTTGATCTAAATATTACGAGTCGAACTATATTAAGAGAACAAATTATTACCTTTATTATCTGAATAATTTACAAAGGTCTGAACTTAGTACATTTGCAATTTTGCTTAAAAACCATCAAAAGCTTCACTTTCTTCTTGAGCTTCTTGCCTAGATCGATCGCTGATTTGGTGAAGCATTTGTTATCGCTGATCTTCATACCTGCATCACATTGTTTCACATTATTTTTGGTATCAGAGTTTGGTTCTAGGTTAGAAAATTTCTATTTTAGGTTAGTCTTTATTTGATAAAAAAAATCAGTCATCTCATTTAGTACAAACATTCATCTCACCTAGTTGTTAGTGCATGTCCACTCGCACAGGTCTACCGTATCGATTGGGAGAGTCTAGTGAATCATCTAGCGAGTCCAGCATGTCAGGCAGCACAGACCCCAAAATCATAAAGAAGCTCGATGGGTTAGCAGGACAAATAGGTGTCGTAGTCCAGGGCTTAACAAATTTCCAGAATGAAACCAATGAAAAGTTTGCTAGGATCGAAGAAG